GCAAAATTAATTTATACTATTAAATTAATTAATCCCTTAAAATACTTGACTGTTTAACTTTTCAAATTTGCTAAATAAGGAAAGATTTCAAATAACCTAACCAACATTATTCAAGATGATTTTAAGCCTGTAGGATTTTCGAAAACCGTAAGGAATTTCAAAAATTCCTAAGCCTATAAATTATCATGGATATTGGTTATTTATTAAATCCTAGATACCCATTAGGCTAAATCAAATCCTTTTGGAGATAATAAAATCTTTAACATTCCAAAATTGATTATAACCTTATTTTTTATTTTCACACAAGAACAAGCAAACAAAATATAAACTCAATCTTTTATGTAGTGAAAATATCATTTAAGCAAGGCTCTGATACCACTGATAGGTTTTTCTATATACTTCCTAGATTAATTATCATGGCAGCAGAAGCATACAAATTTAATCTAAGGCAAGCAAACACTAAAACCTAAAAGGATCTTTAACCTAATTGTAACACTCCATTTTCACCTTATAGTATAAACGACTAGTTACGCAATAGACGTTTTTTATAGAAGATTGTTTAGGATAAATAGTCTTGATGAAAGTCATAGTAATCGCAAAACCGAGAGCATGCATATATAGAACATCCAAATCTGACTTCATAAGAGGAGGTTTTTAAGCTTTGGCATAGCAGTGTACAACAAATAAATCAAATAGAAATCAGTCAATTGTTAGCCGAGACAATCTAAACGAGAGTTGAAGATCTCGTAGATACAATTTTGTCGAAAGAAAGATAGTCGCGAAAGGAATTTGTATGGACAAGTTATGATTTTTATGTAGGGTTTAAAAATCTATGTATGTTAAAAATATAACTTTAAAAATAAAGTAAGAATTAACCAATGGCTTCCAAATGAAAGTTGTAGATCTCGTTGATAATTATGTGTGGATATAAAAAACATCAAAAACAGAGCTCGTATGAAGAATATATGAATTTTTGACGAAACTAAAAATCTATTGTGCGCACTGAAACTCCACCCAAAAATTGCCATGTGTCACCCTCTGACTTAAGCCACATCAACTCCCCCGATAAGATGTGTGATGCGCCCTTATAGTGCACGACATGCATCCCTGCTATAAATAGATATCTCTTGTTTCTTTCATTTCTCACACTCTCACTCCAAAACTTTTTGGGGACCTTTAACACCTCGAGTCCTGTATTTCTAGGTTTTAGAGCAAAGCAGCAAAGCTTTGTGGTCTCTTAGAGTCCGACTAGTAGAAGCCCTCGATTCGAAGTTCTGGCAGTGAAATCTTTCAGTTTCGCTAGAAACTCTATAAGTTAGGTTATACTTACTATCCTTTAAGTGTAGCTTATATTAATATTCATAGTCATTGTTATGAATGTGTAAATAAGATTTATCAGTAATTCCAATCATAAATTTGATTGGCCTACTTACGGGAAAGGTGTCTAGAATTGTCAAGTTGGCTTGGTTGTTGGATTTTAGAAAAGTTATATGTCGATATGATCATGCCTACCAACTGTCCTGTCCGGCTGATCCTTATTTAATAAAACTCTCGGTATTCATTGGGATTAGTGAGAAAGCTAACTTTCATTGCCAAATTGTCATAAAGAGTTATAACTTATAGTATTATAGGTTAATATTTGATAGGCAATTTATCGTTAGTTGGATTGCCAGTATGATCGCCCTGATAGTTGTCGATTGTATGAGTAACTGTTCATGTGAGTAACCTCACTATACTATGTATTACAATACATATGCATATGTGTTAGGATATAAGAGCTAATAGAGTAGATTTGATAGTATAGTCTCCATGTGATGAATGCTAGTATAGTAGATAGTATATCCTTTATGTGTATGTAGTAGTAGAGCCTAAAAGTATAGTCTCTATGGGTGTAATATGGTTATGTATGTTGGGCGGGGGCCCGTTATATATGTAGGGTAAGGCCCATTTGGTAGTTTGGGTGGGGTTCGTTTAAACGTAGGATGGATGGGGCCTATTGTGTAGTTTGGGTGGGGCTCGTTTATTTGCTTAACAGACGGGGACCAATATATATATATATATATATATATATATATATATATATATATATATATATATATATATATATATATATATACACACACACACATGCATATATATAGAGAGAGAGAGAAAGAGAGAGAGATAGGAGGGTTCAATTGAGAAAAAAAAGGTTGAGAATAGGGGAATTATTCTCAGCCAATCATTTATTTTTGCCGCAAAAACTTCCGGCGGAAATGGGAAAGGAATGCACATGTGTTTTCCAACAAAACATGTTTCCTTAAACTATGATAAGCATTACCTTAATATATACAAAAACATAGTTTTTCGTTTTTTTTTTTTTTAAGAAGCTATTTTTATCGAAAAATGATTTTAAATATACCAAAATTCATGATTTTTTATTCTCTACAAATAGACATCCATATTGATATAGTTTTAAGATAAAATAAAAAAACTATTTTTTTATATTTTTAACTATCGTTATTCATAAGTGAATAAAAATTAATCAGGTTTTTACTACAGTACATTCGTTATTCACTTATGAATAAAAACTATAATTAATTTTTTTTTACAATTTAAGTATCATTCATATATGAATATAGCATATACTAAACATAGTATATTCATATTTAAATATTAGACGATGCATTCACTTGTGAATATTACATAGTATATTCACTTGTGAATGTTAGATAGTATATTCACTTATGAATATTAGATGATATTTTCATATGTGAATATTATATAGTATTACATGGTATATCACATGAGAATAGTACATAGTATATTCACTTGTGAATAATAATTGGTATATTCATATGTGAATATTGTACAGTATATTCATATATGAATATTACAAGGTGTTTTCAAAAATATATATAATTTTTATATGTTATTCACATATGAATAACATACAGACTTGCATATTTGTTGTGTTTTAATAATCACATATTGATTCGGGTGAGAAAACATATTCATATGTGAATATCACGTGGTAATTTAGTTTATCCATTTCATCAAACAGTTGGAGTACATACAAGTTAATTTTTTTAAGAATGTGATAAATATGATACTTTGACTATTTAAATCTTACAAAATAGTAGATTGGTAGAGAAATATATAAAAAATTTCAAACAAAAAATGATTTGATCTTTTTCTAACCTTAATTTCGATGTTTTATTTGATGAACGATGTTGAATGAATGATACGAATTGAATTTTTTGTTGATTATCGATGATGTTTTTCTAATGATGCTGGGAGTATAATTAATCGTAGATGTTGAAGATATATTTGTATTCAAGCAGAATTGAAGGAGGATTGAAAGAGCAAAAAATGAATGAATTTCAATTGTTATCTAATTCTCTACACTTATGTATTTGTGATTGAAGACTATTATATCATATTTACAAGTTTGCCACCGTGTCCTTTATGTTTAGAGGCTAATTAAATGAGTGGTTGAGAATGATTCCCCCATTCTCAACCTTTTTTATTTTCTCAATTGAACCCACCTATATATATATATATATATATATATATATATATATATATATATATATATATATATATATATATATATATATATATATATAGTGGTATATGGTATTTTGGGAAACTCACTAAGCTTCGTGTTTATCTAGTTGAATATAAATATTTTCCATATACTTCATTAATTTGTGAGAAGGGCAAGGTTTGATTGTACACGCGTGCATTTGCAACATGTTTCCGCACAATGTGATTATACTCTGATATATTTGAATAAATAAAAATGAAAAATTTGGGTTGAAAATTGGTATGTTACACTAATTGATATTAACAACTACGATAGGGATATAATTTACTAACCTTTAGCAAAACCAATTTGCTTGAAGACCTTTGATGTAGTTTTTGAATTCTTCAAGAAGCCAAGGTAGAATAACCAAAACAGATTACCACTAATGGTTCACATCCAACAAAACCAAACCATTTGATGTAAGAAAATAACCCTTGGAACAATAGAGATTGACCAAGGAGTTAGTGAACAGAAACTCTAAGAATCCTTTAGAGTGGGACGAAACTAATGAGGTGCATAGGATGGTATTTATAACTTCCCATTGCTTACAGATAATGCAGATTTGAATAATTAAATAATTCAATTTAATCCAAATTTTAATCCTTTTATTGATGTTAGACGGGAGAATAATGATTGGAAGTGGAGGTGAAAAGGGGATCCTACAGGTGGTACCGAAATGACACAATTTTTGAAGTTGCAATACCTTTTGTTGGGAGTTTCTGTTTTCGTTCAATCTTAATCATTGGAAATGAGACTCGAATAATGGGGTCAATTTTACGATAAACGACTCGTCTTTTCATTGATCACATTTTACCTACTCAGCCTAGACAAACGGTTTAGAATAAATTAATGCCCATTAAGGTTAATGTCTTTCATTGGAGGGATACCTTGAATCGCCTTCCTATTAAAGATAATCTCTTTAACCTTGGTATTGAAGTGTCTTGTGCCTCGTGTCTGGTTTGCAACAATCAACCGGAAGAGATGAGCTTGGCCGGTACAGTGATGTGCACTTGACCTCCCTCAGTTCAGTTGGTGATTTCTAGGCTTTCTTAGAGTCCACAGCTTTGTCTTTGGCCCATAAAGAGGTTATGGATGCTATTGTGGCTACCGCACAATGGTATCTGTAGACTTTTAGGAATAAATATGTTTTTGATAGGATGAGACCTAAAAAAGATAAACTGTTTGATCATATTTTAGTGATAGCTTTTAATCAGGTAGAACATACGAAGCACAAGTTCCACATTGGTTGGAATAATTGGCTTCAAAATCCAATTTTTGTGATGTAACTTTCTCCTTTTTGCTCTAGCTCCTTGTTAGTGCTTTTTTCCTTTTTCTCACATAAGGGAAAAACAAAAATATATGGAAAAGCTAAAGGCCATAACAAGCCTTTTTTGGGTTTTAGGTTAGATAATATGTGAATATTACACAATAGACATGAAAATATTAGAGTGAAGAAGAAATTATAATAAAGTGATAAAGCTATTTAAAACCAATGTGCAAAGAAAAATGACATGTAAAAGAATATAATTAGAGTTTATGCAAAATCATCATCATCAGGAGCAGAAGAGAGTCTCTTTTGAGGCAAATAATTAGGAAGAGAAGGTTTAGGTTTTAATGATACATTGGATTTGGATGTGCCTTCAGTCGATCTTCCTATAAAGTGTTTATCTTGTGAAGGCTTAACAAAAGTTGGTAATTTGCTTCTACTGATGAATGATGGAGGTTTAGATGATATCACGTGACTTGTGTATAAATTTCCCTTTCCTGTGTTTGTGTCTGTAGTAACATCTGGTTTTGACTTAACCATTGATTCCACAGGTACAAGCTTTCCACTAATTTGGTTTGTAAAAACAAAAGTCACCTGCACCAACATCAACATCAACATATCTATTATCATCAATACTCAATATGGAACAGCTACTACTAATTACTTTTACATGTTACGTTTTAATTTGTAATTACTAATTAGTAATTACCTCATCTCCAGCTGCTGCTTGAAAAATAGTATCAGGTACAGTATTTGGGGAAGAATGATGACCCCAGCTAGCTAGATCCTCTTCCAATGGGGTACCCACCTGGAGGAATGTTTTAGAACAGATTACTTGAGAAAACAGAAACAGATGATTATTATATGTTGTTCAATTTACCTGTTTCTCTGATCTTTTTAACTTATGCAAGCATCCAGAAATACCTGCAAATCCCCCAATATCCTCTTCATCAGATTGGCAATCTTCATCTGGAGAACCAGCATTATCTCTCATTGCATCTGTTTCTTGTTCTCCAGATTTCTCACAACGTGTACAGATCATCTTCTCATGAATATCAGACCTGAAAAGATACACAGCCACCTTCAAACATCATCAACCAATGACTTTCAACGCATCAAGAATACAGTTGATATAAAAGTAAGCTTGCCTTGCATTCTCATGAAATGTAAATAGATCCCGTAGATCCTCAGTAGAAAGATTGGTCCCCTGCATTCATTAGATGTCAGTCATATTATTCATCAAGATTCAAGAAGCATTTGCATATGTTCAAAAATACTGAAATACCTGAATCTTGGAATCGGATTGCTCTTGTTGAATAACTTTTTGAAGCCCTTCTTTCGACATCTGACGCTGGTACACCTGCAGAATACCAAATTTACCCTTGATTAACTGAACTCAACTCATAATAGAAAAGTAGAAATATTTATGAATTTATCTACTACCTTTTCTTCAATAGTTCCAGTGCTCAAAAACCTATAGATGTATACTCTCTTCTTCTGCCCATCCCTCCACACTCTTGCAGCAGCCTACATCGAAAGGAAAAGTATAAAAAAGACGATTTTGTCCCTAGAAAAAAAAAAAAAAAGAGTTAAGTATCTAAGTACTTGTTTGTCATTTGCAGGATTCCAATCAGGGTCAAACAGAACAAGTCTATTTCCACCTATCAAATTGAGGCCACAACCACCAGCTTTGCTGCTCAAAAGAAATGCAAACTCATCCTGCATGATAATGAAGCATATTCTTCTATTATAGTAATAGTAGAAATGCATTGTACTGATTAAAAGATTGAAAAATATAAATACCTTTGATGGATCATTGAAGCAGTTGACCAACTTTTGTCTTTTGCTGATTGATGTGGACCCATCAAGCCTTAAGAAAGGATATCTTCTTTCTCGACATAATTGAACAATAAGGTCCAGTGTCTGAAGAGTTTGAGAGCTATTTAAAGATTTGATCACTTTAATTAAACTCCTAATTACATAAAAGAACTCCCAATTCATACCTGGGTGTAATTTGAAACCAATACAATTCGATCATCTGTTCTCTTACGAAGATGGGCCAACAATCGGGCCAAGACTTGCATCTTTCCTGACAGTTCAACCCATGATCCATCACCACCAGTCCAAGATCCAGATCTAACAAATTAATAAATTAATAAATAAATATCAAGAACAATGTAGAAAATAACACAACATAAACAAGAGATGATTTAGTTTTAGTTTTACCTTCCGGAGAACATTTCTGGAGGGAAAAAACGCATGCAGTTTTCAAACCCTGATGTCCCTGGCTTCCCACTTTTCATTGTATCATAAATCAGCTACAATATCAAAGAAATGCATCAGAAAAAAAATTCTTTCTCCTAATGTTGTGATTCTTTTAGGAATGTTTTTACCTTTGGATGATTGCAGAGCTTCTTCAGGGCAGTTATATAAGCCAGAATTTTTGTCTGTTTCACATCTTCAACAATTGCTTGTTTCACCTACAATACAATCATGTTGTGTGTTCAAATTTCATATTTAGACCACTATCAATACACAATATCAGTTATATAAGAACATATATTAACAATGTCCAAACAGAAACCTACATTTTTTGAACGAATAAAGTGATTGTAGAGTTCTGCTTGTAGAGGAGTCAGTTTGCAACATACAACCTCAACTATCTGCAAAGTGTAGACATCATTTTTTGAATGGATAAAGTGGATGAAGTATGAAACTATGAATAAAGTGATTATACCTTTGGTGGTAAGTGATTTGATAGCAATGCATTAGTTCTCCTCAATATAAACTGACAACACAAGTCCCAAAAACATTTAAGGTGCTGAAAAACTAACTGCTTCTTACAAGATCTTAAATATATTATATTTCAATAAGACTGACAAAATTACCTGATTAACCTTGGCACTCAGTTCTGCAGACCGCTCATTAGCAAGATGTTTCTCCTCTTCAGAGGCAATAGGTTCTCTTCCACAAATGATTGGTGTCTTCAAAACAGTAATTTAAGAATTTGAGAGGAGAACAAAAACTCAAGTTATAATGATATAAGGACTATAATGTCCAAACCTACTATAGTTTAAATCCATGATTATTAGTTGTGAGAATTGAATTTTGATCAGATATATAAGTAACAAGTAAAAGCTTCATAAGTTAGCTGACCTCATAATAACGCCGAAAAAATGCAGCATCACCCAAAATCCCTGGGTTGGTGAAGTTCACCATTGCAAAAAACTCTTCTAGATGATTCTGGAAGTTTAACACAAGAAATAAGGAGAAGCTTGTGTTACAAAACAAGATGTTGATAGTATTGATTGTAAGCTTTTTACAAATTAATAATCTAGAAATAATCCTCACTTGCATTGGAGTCCCAGACAATAAAATGCGTCTTCTGCAAGATAGAGCTGCCAATGCCTGATTCAACAAAGTAAGGAGGTATCAGAATACCTAAATCTAGAATTTTGAATTATTTACAAAATTACTAGTCTTACTCTGTTAGTCAATGTCTGGTCATTTTTCAGCCTGTGTGCTTCATCACATATGAGAAGATCACAAGAGCCACTATCATTAAATTTTGATGAATGCATCCGAAAGGTCTCATAGGAAACAATCAGTACCTTGTAGAAAAATCAGGGATAATTGGTATCTACATCTGAGATCAATAAAGTTTATTGACAGGTTTAACCTTTACCTGTAACTGGCTTTGTGGGCTTCTGAAGTTATCAATGCTAGAGATGACATCATCACGACTACTTTCACATAGAGCAACAAGCTTAATTCTTTCACCAACCCATTTCTTAATTTCTGCCTCCCAATTGCTTACTAGACTAGTTGGAGTTACAATTATGCCCTTCCGCACCATTGGTTTTCCATTAAATCCTTGACGAAGAAGAGTGTACAGAAGTGTAATTGACTGCAAAGTCTTCCCCAATCCCATGTCATCAGCCAGAATGCAGCCATTGATATCAGGGGTGCATAAACCTGAAACACATTCAAACATGAACTGGACACCTTCCCTTTGATGGGGTCGAAGAAACTTAACAAGCATATGATCGACTTCAATTGATATTGAATTATTATCTCCATCTTCAGATTTTTCAGACTGCCATAAGATCAAAGGTTCAATATCTGGTGGCAGCTTAGTAATTTCTTCTGGAACTTCCTCCTCTGCAGAAACAAGAGGATTCAACCTGTTTGTAATGGGAACCAAAGCTGGCCTGTTTGAGCCCCAAGGTACAAACCGTTTACGAGCCCACAGACGCCGGTTCAATTGTTCGTTTTCATTGGAGTAGCCATCGGCAGAAGGAGGTTTGAAAGGCTTCTTAAGAACAGCTTCTCTTTCTGTGACTGAAAGAACTCGTGGAAGTAGAGATTGCCTTTTAACAACAAGATTTCCTCTGGCATCAAAACATGAATTCATGTCAGGTGATAAGTTTGGATAACTCGGTGAAGTGCAAACAAACAATTGATCATTCCATCCATCCCCCCAAAAAAATACAAAATAACTTAATAAACCCCCCCACACACACCCCTCTGTACTCTAAATTCCGTTTAGATTGTGTAACTCGAATGCCAAAAGGAGAAAAGAATAGAAGAGAACTACGAACATCTAATTGAACTACCAACAGGTGTACCTCAAAAGAGCATCAACGTTCTGCGATTTTTGATTGTGCGCAGCTGGTTGTGCGACGGAGTTTCCTTCACAATTTTCATCGCTGCCAGATCTACATAAATCATCACTGCCATCTTCAGACTCGTCGCAAATGAAATCTTGGCTCGAATCGCTGGTATCTGAGACAGATAAAACTTCGTCGTCGTCGTCTTCCATAAACCTAGGGTTCTTATTTCAGAGTGAAGATTATGATTGTTCTGAATTCATATGGTGTGCTTAGTACGATTAGTTGTGGTTCGAACTGATACCAAAATGGCGGTAAGATGTCGGCGCCTTCTTTCCATTTGAACCGGGGCGGGTCATCACGGTGATGGAATCGGAATGGGTTTATATTTTATACCTTAAAGAGCAAAATAACTTAGGAGCGTAATTATCTTTTATTTGTGTTCATATATTAGTAACTTCTTCTTCTTTTTTTTTTTGTACATAATAAAGCAACTAATTTGTTTTAACTGTTTAAATTATACCAATATTACCGGCTAATACATGAGTTAACTGGTAACTCAAAGGAAAAATGACTTAGGAATGTTAACTACCTCTTATCAATGTTCACATATTGGTAGCTTCTTATTTTTTGTACATAGGAAAAACAATTACCTTGTTTTAACTGTGTAACATCCCAAAAATCATGACCAAAAATTTCGTTTTTAATTTAATACTAAAACCATAATTTTCAAACCATTAATTTAATACTCCGGCATCGAGCCCCGCCTGGCATTGAGCCCTACTCGATATACAGATTTGTCTCTCTTAGGCCCCGTCTGTCTCCGGACCCCGCCCGCTAAACACATACAATCATTTAACATGCTAACACATAAAGAAACATACTCTATTGTATCTCTGTCCTAAGAAACATACTCTGCTAATAATGAGATACGGAACATCGTTCGTACTCAGCTAGTGATGGGATACGGGACCTCGCCCACACTCACCTCTTTACCAGGCACATACAAGTATCATACAGACAATAAGTATAATCTAACATGCAAACATTCCTCGGGCACCCGCCCGACAACAGACCTTGGTCTGGAATAACATACTAGCATACAATGCCTAGTGCTAACCCCCGGGTCTTCTTACTCATTAACTATATGGGCTGGCATTGTGGCCTTAGATCCATTCACACAGTGAGGAGACTCACCTTGCACTGCTGAAGCCCTGGTTGGAACTAGCTGAGTACGGACGAAGTTTCGTATCTCATTATTAGCAGAGTATGTTTCTTAGGACAGGGATACATGAGAGTATGTTTCTTTATGTGTTAGCATGTTAAATGATTGCATGTGTTTAGCGGGCGGGCCCCGGAGACAGACGGGGCCTAGGAGAGACAGATTTGTATACCGAGCGGGGCTTAATGCCAGGCGGGGCCTGATGTCAGGCGAGGCCCGATGCCGGAGTATTAAATTAATGGTTTGATAATTATGGTTTTAGTATTAAATTAAAAACGAAATTTTTGGTCATGATTTTTGGGATGTTACACAGTTAAAACAAGTTAGTTTCTTTCTTATGTACAAAAAATAAGAAGTTGTCAATGTGTGAACACAAGTTAGTTTCCCTTTGAGTTACCAGTTAAAACGGGTATTAGCCAGTAATATTGGTGTAATTTAAACAATTAAAACAAGTTATTTGCTTTATTATGTACAAAACAAAAAAAAAAAAAAAAAAGTTGTCAATATGTGAACACGGATAAAAGGTAGTTACCCTCCTAAGTCATTTTCCCACCGATTATTCGTGAACGTTTACGTTTGGATGGAGCCCAGGTTGGCAGGTTCTTTGTTCAAGTTTCACCATGTTGAAAATGGATTACCTTGAACCCGATAATCAATGGGTTCTACTCGTTTATGTAGTCTCGTATATAAAAGGAAAAACTTGAAATATTGTATCAGGGCTGGCCCACGGACAAGGCGATGCGAGCCCAGAGTAGCAAGATTGCAAGGGGCATCAAAGTTTTTCCATGTTACCGGTATAATTGTTTTTGGGTCCAAATAATATGATACAATCCATAATGTTGTTCCAAGCAAGCTATATAACTTCTGAAAAAGGAAAATATCAAAAAGAAAACCTACAAATTTTTCCCACTTTTAAAATCACTTATATATTTATTTTTATTTTTATTAATAGAGACATAACCTCGAATTTTTTGGTTGGTCTTTTTCAAAATAACTAAATGTGTAACCCGGTTAACCATTACTTTGTCATTAGAATGGGTCCACGTGGCATTGAGATGTTGTCCACATGGCTTTTGACTATCTACTTGGCATTTTGTCTCTCTCTATCTACCTATCTCTATGTTGCGTTGCTACAGGTTGGGAACCATTTCAAAGGAGACAATTGGAGATCTCTAAAGAAATGAAACAGAAAACACAAGCGGATCACGATGAACCCTTATATTACTGAAGTTTTTTCACGAAGGAGGTTTTGTTGTCATCTAAAACCCTACATGCACACCCAATGTTTTCTCTCTCTAACTCTTTTTTATTTCTCATTCAAACGGGATCAAGATATAGAGGATTTACTAAGCATCGCTATAAACTGAGGGATGCATACTCGTTGCCCTTGTGTATGTGTGTGTGCGTGTCTATATATATATATATATATATATATATATATATATATATATATATATATATATATATATATATTCATCTCTTGGGGTTTCGATTCACAAGTTGAATCCTAAATTTAGAGTCATTAACGAATTTCTAGTAGATATGAAGTGTTGGATCATGCTTAGGATGAACATCAAACTTTACATCTACGATTTTGATTCACATTTGAATGAGCATTCGATTCTAAACCATAAGTTTAATGAGAGATCCGAATTTCGTTAATTAACTCATTATGTGTGAACGTTTTGATGCTAGAAACTTCTTATGAATCACTAGTGTATCATCACTCTCTCGATGAAGTGATTGATTCCTTATTTTGTAACGGAATTGAGGATTCAAACCTTAGTTAGTGAGAAAAGTCCATTCTTGATTTGACAACTTGAACACTAGCTTAATGTATTGATTTGGAACCAAATCAAAGATTTTAGGGTTAATAAGTGAGTAACTGGTTGTAATATTGATTTGATTTGTTATGTGATTCCAGTTGACCTTATGGAAGTTATGAGCATTAAACAGTGATTAAAACGGAATCCACCATTGGAATGGGGTGAAATGATTTTCGAAATAAGTTATATCACATATGTGTTTTGGTTCAAACAAATGACATTTTGAAAGATGAAACTATAAGTTTTTGGAATGTTGAAATGTATTAGTCGTTAAAATAAGCATGTAACCACCATAGTTGTGTAAGTATCTCAAATCCAATATTGAGGATTCGAATCATGTAAGAATGAAATTGATCATGATTGAAGATTAGATTGGAATGAGATTAATTACTTAATTCATTTTTAGAATGATCCTTTTGATTATCACATTGTTTAGAAGCAAACTAGAGGCAATCATGAAGTCATTAAGGGCTTATGATCTAAATTGATGACTAATTTCTTTGTGATTACACATTTAAGCTGATGAAAACATTGAATCAATGATGATTAAATGCTAATGAAATGTTAATATAGAGGAAAATTTTGTTAATAGACACTACTTAATCATCAATATCGACTATAAATGGATTTGGGATAGTTTGGATCAAGGTTAATGAAAAATTAAAAGTGTTTGACTTTTACCAAAACATGAGTTATGCTTTAATGCCTTTAATTACATAGGTTATTATTCTTTATACATATTTATTTATTATACTTCCATAAAGTATCATACTTATCTCATGTATCAACCTTGTATCCTCATTATGACTTAGATATTCCTGTAATAATATGAATGACATACATTATATTTCCATCAAATTGTGAAATGGATAAATTTGTTATTAAGTATTTAACGACCAAAACTACATGTTATTTTCATGCAAAGAAATGATATATCATCATGTATGTTGTTCTAATTTTATCACACACACACACACATATATATACATATATATATATATCCCTAGTCCTCCCCAAATTCCAATGTTATTAGGGTAGGAAAAAATCATAATGTTGTAACATCCATAAAATTTGAGCCAATTTAAAACTTTTTAAATCATATAAAACCATGTTATTACAATTTGTTTACAAAATAGTTTAATCATCAGAGCTCCTAGAAATCATAATCATCAATCAAGGGAGTGTACGGTCACACCTTCGCCTTCCCGCGGTCATTCACTGATCCTGAAACAATAAACTGAAACTGTAAGCCCGAAAACTTAGTGAGTTACCCCAAAATACCCATACCTACAAAAATACACATATAATCATAAACAGCATATTATGGGTCCAATCATCCATCGAGATGGAATACCCCAATCCCTCAACCATTGGGTTGGAACGCCAACATATCGATACACTTCACATAACACATATACAAATAACAACATGTACTGGGTTCACAACTTTATAGACTGGATTACCCTTGGGCACACGGTGTGAGTCTGGATTGCCTTCCGGGCCCACAACTCACATATGGATTGTCATCGAACCCACAGTACGAGTCTCCTTTAGCGTGTATCTAGATTGCTCTCGGGTTTGTTGGTTACCACATGGAGCAGTTTCACCTTAACGCATCCCACATAATATGTCGACATATAACACAACCAATGCACATACATATAATTACATAATACTACAGGTAGTCCTACAGATCTACCTAACTGGCATAACAACTAGCATGCAGACTGTAACGTCCGTAGATCCGGGCTAGTCAATTTAGAGATAATAGGGGTCGAAAATGACTTTTCGACAAAAGATTATTTAGAATAAATAATCTTAACCAAGATTTAGAATACGTGTCAAGGGTTCTGTACATATAAAGAACGTTGAAATCCGAGTTATAACGAAGAAGGTATGGTCCGTCGAAGTTTTACGGCAAAACCGGCACGACACCGGGAGACGTAAATAGTGAATTTACGATGGAGGACTTTTAGCCTTTTAATTTAAACAAAAGTTGTAGTATACGTTAAACCGATAACATACAAAAAAGAACGCCTAAATATGAATTCGTATGAGGAAGTTATGAATTTTCTAAGATTTGGCTTAGTAGTGCACAACTCGAAACTCGAATTTTAGATCGAGCGGTTTTTGGCCTACGCGACCTAAATGAGAATTGAATATCTCATTAATAGGAACTCAACGATAAAAAGACAGACGAACACAGAGTCCGTATGTAGAAGTTATGAATTTTACGCGGACATTTAATAGTATAATCTTCTCGTATTGTTAAATTTAAGATCGGTTAAGAATTAGCCG